CGTTTTTTGTACATTTATTATTGCTTGGGTCATATTTGCAAGAATTTTACTGCATGGATATGGTGAAAACGTCACCTATTCTGTTAGTGGGAATGCTGCCTGGTTTAACCTCTGTGAAAAAAGAGGCATGGAAATTTCTTAGAAAATTAAGAACAGAGCCCATTTCTTGGTATCTATTTCTAAACACAAAAACATTAATTTGAAAAGATATGTGCAAGCATATCTTTATTAAATACAATAGTCAGAATATGGAAACAACACAAATGTCCATAAATAAAGCTGTGTTACTGATACACAGTAGAATACTATGAAGCCATTAGAAAAGATGGAATTTTGCAGTTGCCACAACTTGACTGGAACTCAAGGGGACTGTGCTAACGGAAAGGTCAGAGAAGGAGAAATGCCACATGATTTCAGTCATCTGTGCTCTGTGGCCAAACAAGACAGTGCAATAGAAGGTATTGAGTGAAGGCAATTTTTGGCCCTGGGCTACAAAACTAAGAATACCAAGTAAGGAGACAGTGGGTCATGGGGGATGAGGAGGTATACCAACAGTGTCAAGGGTCTTGGAGATTCTCGCTGTGGAGAGGTGAGGTAACATCAAACCATAGGTGTTACTAGTTGTAAATAGGCTCTTGACCCATTTAAGTTAAATATTAGGAACACATGTAATGAGGAATAACTTTTCTGATTAAAGGGTTTATATTGTTACAACAGTATTCAATGAATTCTCTATATTGATTCTGTTCATATCTGGCAAGAGCAAGATATTTACTAATTTGGCAAATTTTTCCACTATTCTTCCCATTCATTTTCTTAATGCATGAGTAGGAAAACTGTATAAATTACTGTGTGTGCTTGGATATATTCACATACATGACACTGAGTCACAGTTTATGTATTAAATCTGAATACATAATTGGGCTGGAGAGATGGAACAGGGTTATGGTGAATGCTTTGCATGTGGCCGACCCTGGTTCAATTTCTACGTGGTTCACCGAGCAACTCTGTGTGTAGCCCAGAACACTATCAGGATGGCCGAGGGAATCCCCAGCAGGGCTCAAGTAGCATGCCAGTTTTTAGATTCTCAAACTATATTGTCAGCCTGGCTAATCAAGAATTGCAGGGAGGGTACCAGACATTCTGAGCTTACTTGGGAAATTCCCCTTCCCAAATTTTAATATTACCAAAATTTTTCCCAAGGAAGTTTATCAATTTGTACTGGAGGGGAGGGGGTAAAACTCAGCAGTGTTCAGGGCTTACTCCCAGTTCTGTGCTCAGGGATCATCCTGGTAGGACATGGGGGACCATATGTACTGCTGTGGATTGAACCCAGGTAAGCTGTGTGCAAGGCAATTGCCCTTTCCATGGTCCTATCTCTTGACCCCAATTATACACATTTTATTGGTAAACAGCATATAATGAAAAATTCTGATAACTAAAAATGTAAAATTTCTAGGGCCCAAGATGTGGCTCAGTGGTAGTGCACATGCTTTACTTGTGTGAGGTACTGGGTTTGATCTCTGCACCATGAAAAAGAGTAGGATTCTTATAAAATCACAAAGTTCATGTGAAAGGCAGACTATGTAAGAGTTCATTCCTCATAAAAGCAATAGGAAGAAAGAATCAAGCAGGGAGAAACAAGAGGATGTGAGGAGACAGGATGTGGGCCCTAGCCCACTGGAGTTGCAGAGGTATGGTGAGTATGTCCAGACCACAGAGTCATGAACACTGCAAGCCATACAACAACAAAAGTTACAAATATATACCTGCCCAGGAGACAGGCTGCAGGCTGGGAGGAACCCTAAGGACACTGTCTGGGGGAAGCTGGCACTACTGCTGGCGTTTGTCAGAACACTGTCTGCCTGGAACTGTACTACTTTCAAAGTCACAGGCAGGCAGGTACGGGCAGGCAGGTAGGCAGACAGGGGAAAGGAAGAGAGGAGAAAGTCTTATAAACTAAAATGAGCAAAGGCTATAAAATAATTATAAATACTACATACAGATGGTCAAAGTACATAGAAACCAACATTTAATCCCAACTTAATGAAGAAACTCAAATTAAAAGCAGTATTTTATTTTTTTAACTCATCAAACTGGCTTTAAAAAACTCAACAACCTTTAAGACTAATTACGTATGTAGCAGAGAAAGGGAAAAGGGAAAGTTCAAAATTCTCTCCTAGACAGTTAGGAGCGGGAGAGCAACCCTGCAGGGCACACTATGTATGTGTGAGTGCCAGTGTACATTGGCATGACCGGGCAGTGCCATGGGAAGGAATTGGTTCATGTTACTTAACTGAGTACAGAGAACATGATGGTGATGCATAATGTGGCATGAAATAAATAGCAAAATTTGGGAATTCTACATGCATATCAATCAGGAACTTAAAAAATGTTAAAACTATACAGTAGGATTTTTTTTAGTTATAAACTGATGCTTAGCACAGGAAAATGCTTATATTAAAGATTATGCTACAACACGGCTGCATCTTGAACCTAAGAGGTACAAATAAAGAGATGACAAAACATCAGCCCAAGATAAATCTTTCTCAGATTTCAAAAGTTCCAAAGAACACTAGTATAAGTCCCCCAAAATTACGCTCGTAGAAATAGAAATTCGGCTTTTCCTATTTCTTCTTTTTTTTTTGGGAAGGAAAAAATTTCTTAAAAGACAAAAAGATTATTGGCATAGTTCCAATTCAAATACTTCATTCCCTGTAACGTTCAAGTGAAAGTGAGATAAAGCAACCCAGTTACAAAGTATAAGCTTCTAAGACAATTATCCAATCATTCTAGTAAAATGTTAGTAAGGAAGCCTCGTGCTAATGAAGTACCCACACTGTGTTCCTGCACGCAGCCAGAGACCCATCAAGCCAACCAGCGACATCCATCGTGACCAGAACAGCCCCTTCCCCTGAAGGTCATTCTCGCCTGTGCTGCCAACCGCAGAAATGAGACTTGATGTTTTATTACTCAGAGATGGTTCAACAAGGTTATGTCCAAGAAGCTCTCTATCAGTTACAATGGATACATACAAATTGGGTTAATTCACTAAGTTCTACTTTTTATCATTCACTGTCACCTCAGGACATCTAAAAGCTTAGATGTTGCAAAGTAATCAATGAACCTTGTCCGCAATAAACATGGGTATACAGAACTACACATCTAGATCTACAGTTATAGCCTAGACTGTCTTCTAGCTGAGCTACCATCAGAGCCCTTCCCTTCACCATTCCTCTTCTTTCTTCACCATTTCAGTGACCAAGTTCAGGACACATCTTGCTCCAAGAGGTGGATTATTAGACTCCCAGAAGACAGTCCTTCCTAAAGACTAAAAATTATATAGGAATTGCTTACTAATACTACTTTTTAAAATATACGGTATTAGGACTTATTTTATAGCCATGTTAACTAAAATGCATATATAAAACAAAAGATAATAATGTGAACGTGCCTATAAGACTCATGGGTTCAGAACCCTTCCCTGTAAACCCCTCCCCAACAGCCAGCAGTTCCTTCCCCAGTTCCTTCCCCAGATACAACCATTCCTATAAATTCTTTTTAAAAGTGTTCTTTTCTTTCTTTCAATGTTGTACACTTTCAAACACCTATGATTAAATGCTCCAAACAAGGACTTGTTTTGCCCTTTGTCCACTACAATCTGAGTGCCTTCTACATAAAAACTTCCTAGTCTAGGATTTTTTAAAAAAGATTTTTAATTTTTTTTTTGGGGGGGGGGTTGGACCACACCCGGCTGTGCTCAGGGCTTCCTCTTGGCTCTGCACTCAGCAATCACGTCTGGTGGGCTAGGAGGTAGGGGGGAAATCAAACCCAGTTGGCCACATGCAAGGCAAGCACCAACCTGTTGTGCTGTTTCTCCAGCTCCGCTAGCCTAGAACCTTGCCTCTTCTCATCCCTATCAACCCAGCGGACAGACTGGGTTGGCAAAACGACTCTCAAGTCGGTATTAACAGTTTTTACTCCCTCAAATTGTTTTCAGAAGCCTTTCCTAAGAATTTCAACAAGGTGTACACAAGTGACTTCTTCTTCTTCTTCTTCTTCTTTTTTTTTTTTTTGCTTTTTGGGTCACACCCAGCAATGCACAGGAGTTACTCCTGGCTCATGCACTCAGGAATTACTCCTGGCAGTGCTCGGGGGACCATATGGGATGCTGGGAATCAAACCTGGGAATCAAACCCGGGTCCTCCACGTGCAAGGCAAGGCAAATGCCCTATCCGCTGTGCTATTGCTTCAGCCCCTGGACTTGTTTATTAACTCTACTTTTACACTGGAAACCTCTTTAACATCTAGAAAGACTAGATGTTTGCAATTAGGACATTTGTCCTTTCTATACAATATATACACAGCTAAATAAAGCAAAAGACAGACATAAGGGACAATGGCTAATCTCGCCTAACTAAAAACATTCACGTCTAAAAGCCCTATGCTTCCCTCCTCCTTCTCTGAAGCAGTACAAGTAAAACTGTTCAGAAGCAGGTGGATCATTCTGGTCATTCCATTTCCAAAAGACTACCCTAACATATTTTAACAAAAAACTACCTACAAAAAGTGTTAATTTCACTACCTCTACTTTTAACATATGTTGTGCACTTCTAAACATCTAGAAAGACTAGATGTTTCAAATAAGGACTTAGTTTGTCCACTATATACATAGTAACATTGAATAAACCACACACATGTAACAACGGTTGTATCTCAAAGCCTCTTCACTGTGGTCTAGAGCCCTGAAAATGCGGCTTTTCCTGTTTCTAAGAACTGATGAATATGTTGTACTTCTGATGACTGATTACTAGTCCTGGGCCATGGCTGCAGGAGAGAAGTTATGACAAGTAGGACAAGCCAGACTGACACTTACCTCTCAGGTGGGACATATTATCTAACTCTTATTGCTATCTGATATTTATGAAATATTTTAAAAATATCAAATTATGGTTTCAATTTTTATAGACTGTGAGGTTAGCAAAAAAAATTATAATTACCTCCCCTATGAAGACAACTATTACACAGTCCAGCTTCTCTTCAGGATACAGATTATCAATCAGGGAATGGAGAGTCTCTGTGAGGTACGATTTAACTTCTCTTTTCACTGTGGGAATTCCCATTACGATTGAAACTGAAACAAAAAATAAAATTATGAAGGATTTTTTTAACAAAAACAATGCAGATCACAGAACAGCATATACAATATATTATACCCACTTAAATCATCAGATATATTTAAGAGTTTTTGCTTTTGTTTGGGGACATATCTGGCAATAATCAGGGGTAATTCCTGGCTCTGGACTCAGGAAATACTACTGGTGGTATTTGGGAGATCATATAAATGTCAAGGAGCAAAGCTGGGTAGGCACATGCAAGGCAAACCTGGGTAGGCATGTGCAAGGCAAACCTGCTGTACTAATGCTCCAGCCCACATCAGAAAAATTTAAGGATAATATGAATAAGGATATACATCAGGATCCTCCGTGAGCTCTATTACGGATTCACTACCAGGATCTCACCATTCAACAAAGAAGTAATCATCCATGTCAAGAGAGGGGTTCAGCAGGGTGATACCATTTCACCAAAACTCTTCAGTGCCACCCTTGAGAACATCATGTGATGACTGGAATGGGAAGGAATGGGAGTGAAGATAGATAGTCGGCAACTACACCACCTCTGCTTTGCTGATGACATCGTTCTAATAACACCAAACATCAGCCAAGTGGCACAAATGCTAACCGACTTTGACCATGAGTGTGGAAAGGTTGGATTACAACTGAATCTCACAAAGACAATGTTCATGAGAAAGAGTCTTGTTCCTGATGTTCCATTCACTCTCAACAGAATCACCATCCCCAAATGCAACAGTTATATATACCTAGGTTGAGAAAGCAACATGATGAATGACCTGGCACCTGAGTTACACAAGAGGAAAAGAGCGGCTTGGAATGCCTTCAAGAGCGTTGAAGAAATAACTAAGAGGACAAAGAACCTCCAGCTCTGAGCACATCTCTTTGATTCCACTGTTCTACCTGCATTAACATATGCCTCAGAGACCTGGGCCCTACGAAAACAGGATGAGAACGCTATTTGGGTCTCTCAAAGAGGAATCGAAAGAGCTATGCTTGGAGTATCACACTTCACTCAAATGAGAGATAGAATCCGGAGTTCTGATCTCTGTCCATGCTCAAGAATCAGGGACGCTGTCTCATTTGCCAAGGCATCAAAAATCAGATGGGCTGGACACATAATGAGGTTTAAAGATGACCACTGGACTAGAGCCATTACTAACTGGATTCCACAGGATGTCAAAAGATTGCATGGACGCCCACCTACAAGATGGTCAGCCTTCTTCGTCATGACCCTGAATGATCAGTTTGAGGCTCCGCATGTTCCTAGAACGAACAGATGCCATTTGGCTATGCTAACACGCAACAGGGATGAATGGAGACGTTACTGGCACCCACTCAAGTAAATCGATGAGTAATGGTGTATCAAGTGATCAAGTGATGAATAAGTGAACGGAGGACCTTCTACTGAAAATTAAACATAATTAAACATATGAGACAGCCCACCCACCTCACCACGGTGCCTTCCTATGCAGGTTTGTCGGGGAGCCAGGGAAATTAAACAACTCAATATTGAACAATGAAAGGGTCAGGAAGAAATTCAAAGACAAAATCAAAAGATACCTGGAAACAAATAAGAATGAAGACCCGAGATACCAGAACCTATGGGACGCAGCTAAAGCTGAGCTAAGAGGAAAATTTATAGCTTTGCAAGCATTTCTAAGGAAGGAAGAAAGGGCCTACATAGATAACCTGACCTCACAGCTCAAGATCTTAGAAAAAGATCAACAAAAGGAACCCAAATTTGGCCAAAGGAAAGAAATGATAAAACTTAGAGCAGAAATTAACAACGTGAAAACCCAAAAAACAATCCGAAAGGTCAATGAAACCAAGAGCAGGTTCTTTGAGAAAATTAACAAGATTGATAAACCACTAGCAAGAAAGAGAGAGAACCCTAATAAACCGAATCAGAAATGAAAAGGGGTACATCACAATAGAAACCAATGAAATTCAAAAGATCATCAAGACTACTTTGAGAGTCTGTATGCCACGAAACAAGAGAACCTAGAAGAAATGGATAAATACCTGGCCTAGAAGAAAAGGATAAATACCTGGATTCCTATAATCTCGCAAAATTGAACCAAGAAGACATGGGATACCTGAATAGACACATTCATATCAAGGAAATTGAAGCGGTAATCAAAAGTCTTCCCTAAAACAAAAGCCCAGGCCCAGATAATTTCACTAGTGAATTCTTCCAAACATTTAAAGAAGACCTAGGTTCATCATGAGTGTGGAAAGGTTGGATTACAACTGAATCTCACAAAGACAATGTTCATGAGAAAGAGTCTTGTTCCTGATGTTCCATTCACTCTCAACAGAATCACCATCCCCAAATGCAACAGTTATATATACCTAGGTCGAGAAAGCAACATGATGAATGAGAGCCAGAGAGTGCATCTCTTTTCCAAGTCCCATGTGTGTGCCACATTTCTAGTGCCGGGCCCCCACCTCCGGGCAGCAAGAGAAGACTTTGGAGAACACCTGCCGGAGTTCCAGTTCTGCAGAGTTCCTAGGTCAGTGCATCCCTGGGACTGGTAGGGGGCGTGGCCTCCACATAGGGGGCAGGGCCTTCTCAAAAACAGGCATGGCCTCTGAGACGGGAAGCCACTCACATGGCCACAGTTATATTTCCCACTCCTAGCACTTTTGACTCACATCCCAGCCTTTACCACCGAATTCTGTGGAAAAAATCCTGGCCACCTCAACTACAATACAACAATAATCCACTGGCCTACTATTCTAACAAAAGACCAGTAAGCAAGAAGTTGAACAAGCCCAATATAAAAGAACACCTCTTCCAACTCTTCACTAGATGCCCGTCATAAGGCACAGAATAATACCTAAGAGGAAGGTCAGATTCATGGAAGGGAGAAGTGTGACAACCATCGACTGAACTTATTCAGAATCTTTTCCCCCAATAAGAGGGAATAGTGCTAGTGAATTCCAAGGTTTTAATTCTAGACAACCACAACAGAATAAAGAAACAACGCAAATCTCCACTACAAGGAGAGAACAAAGAAAAGAGTCCCAAATCCTCAACAGGGGTTACCCACAAGTATGCTCTCTCAGGTAAAGAATTCTGAAATAAAATGCTGAGAACGTTCAAGAAATGACTCAAAGAATCAACAGAGGAGACATCCAGAAAATTAAAGGAAGAAATGAAAGAAACAGTGGAACAGATAGTCGAGAAAATACAGGAAGAAATGAGAGCAGAAATAAAAAAGCTACAAAAAGAAGTGTCACAAAAAAAAAAAAGGATTCGGTAGAACAAATGAAAAACTCAATAGGTGCCCTCAGCAGTAGGATGAATACTGAAGGATGAATAGCTGAAGACAGGATCAGTGAGCTTGAAGAGCAACAGAAATCGCATAGGGAACAACAAACAATGGGAAAAGACCTCAAAATAGCTCAAAGGAGAATCAGAGATCTAGGCGATGACGTCAAGAGGAACAAAATTAGAATCGTCAGAGTACCAGAAGGACAGGGAGGCAACCCAAATGAAAAAGCCATAGTCAAAGAAATCACTGCTGAAAAGTTCCCAGAGATAAAGAATGCAGACATCCAGATCCAAGGACCCAGAAGGGTTTCAGCTTAAAAGAGAACCTAATAAAAACACTCCAACGCATATCATAGAATGATGGATGCTGTGGACAGAGACACAATACTGAAAGCAGCAAGGTCAAGAAAGGAAATCACATACAAAGGAGCACCCCTTGGATTTACAGCAGACCTATCAGAAGAAACCCTCCAACACACAGTGGTGGTATATAATGAAAAAACTCAATGAAATGTGAACACCTCACCAAGAATACTTTCTCCAGCTAAACTCTCAAACTCGATGGAACTATACACCATTTTGAGATAAACAACAGCTCAGGAAGTTCATAGACTCAAAACCAAATCTAAAAGAAGGATTAAAGGGGCTCCTATAAGATAAGAAGGAAAACACTTATAAACACAACCAACCCCTACAGAAAGATGGCACAAAACCCCATGACAATAATCTCTCTCAATGTCAATGGTCTAAATGCACCGATCAAGAGACACAGAGTGGCAAAATGGATCCAGAAACTGAACCCAACATTCTGCTGCCTACAAGAAACTCATCTGAACTGACAGAGCTAACACAGGCTCAAAGTTAAAGGATGGAAAACAATTCTGCAAGCAAACAGCTCCCTCAAAAAAGCTGGGGTGGTCATACTAGCATCCGACAACATAAATTTCAGGTTGAAAAAGATTAGAAGGGACAGAGAAGGCCATTTTCTATTTATCAAGCGATACATAGCACAACAGGAAGAAATCACACTCTTAAATGTATATGCTCCTAATGAGGGAACAGCTAAATATTTTTTAAAAAACTGCTAATAGATTTTAAGGAGGACATTGCTAGCAACACAATAGAAGTTGGAGACTTCAACATTGCCTTATCACTTCTGGATAGACCAACAAGAACAAAACTCAGCAAGGAAACATTTGCTTTGAAGGAATAAATAGCAGAGAGAGGGCTACTAGACATATACAGGTATTTACACCCCCAAAAGAAAGAATACACATTCTTCTCCAGTGCACACGGAACATTTTCCAAAATAAACCGTGTGCTGGCCACAAAACATACCTCAATAGAATCGGGAAGATAAAAGTAGTATCAACAATCTTTTCAGACCATGATGCGCTGAAGATAGAAGTCACTGTCACTGTCCTCCCACTGTTCATCGATTTGCTCGAGCAGGCCCAGTAACGTCTTCATTGTGACAATTGCTACTGTGTTTGGCATATTGAGTATGTCATGGGTAGCTTGCCAGGCTTTTCTGTGCAGGCAAAATACTCCCAGTAGCTTGCCGGGCTCTCCGAGAGGGGCAGAGGAATCGAACTCGGGTTGGGCATGTTGGATGCTTGCAAGGCAAACACCCTACCCACTGTGCTATCGCTAGAAGTGAATCACACAAAGACACCAAGAAATAAATCAAACCCCTGGAAATTAAACAACTCAGTGTTGAAC